ATGAATGTTTGCACTCATCCATAAACATTATTAGATCCATCAGCTTGACAGCAAGTCCCATCATTCAGCTCATCACTGCGTCATCAACCTACGCCTTTGTTATTGTTGGAAACTGCGCCCTCTTGTGGCGAAAAAATCTTACATATTGTGCCTTTAAAGAAGCATTTTAAATGAGCAATGAACATGGCTTTATGATTATGTATTTAGTTGTGTAATTTTATTTCTTTCTTATTTATTTCACAATATCACTTCACATACAGCACGTTTTTATATTGTTTCGTGTAGAGTGTGCCAGGCAATGGCTGTTGAGGTGGCAGACACTTTTGAACAGTTTGCTGGAAGTCTGGAAGCTACTGATGGCAGTATGTTGGAGCCTTATAAAGTTAAGCTCAAAAATAGTCATAGCACTGAAAACTTATTTTATATATGAAGCCGTCCGATATGGACAAAATAATATTTCATGTTAAAAAGATTGAATAAGAAATGATCATTTTAAAACATGTTGGGTGAGCATGTTTATCTGATTGATTAGACAATAAAGTTTTGTAATGTAAAAAAACAGATCTTACTCAAATGACAATTATCCCGCTGTTGGTTTTGCTAACATGTTGCAAAACATTGAGTTTGGAAAACAAATTTTGAATCTGTGGTGCGCAAACGCACCACACACTAGTGTTGTCACGGTACCAAAATTTCAGTATTCGGTACCAATACCAGTGAAAATCCACGGTTCTCGGTACCAAAGCTTAATTTAGATAAAATTTACATAATTAAAGTGTATCACAGTTACAAAGATGGAAACTGTAGTATTAAAAACACTTTACAATAAGATTCTATTTGTTAGATAACATTAGATAAAATGACCTAACAATAAACCATAGTTATATAGCAATTATTCTCCTTGGGGTTAATTTAAAAATATACTAAATACATTTTTAAAATCAAAAGTTTTATCTGTTAACATTATTTAATGCACAATGAATGAAGTGAACAAACATGAAAAATCAAGTGTTTGTATTAAATAACATTCACAAACATTAATTAATGTTGTAAAAATATATTGTTCACTCAATGTGTTGATGTTAACACATTAAGTAATGTTAATGAATGGTATCTTATTGTAGTGTTACCAAACTATACAGGAGATAAAACATGTTTTATTTGACTTAACTGTAGCTAACTTTTATTTAATCCAAAACTGCCAAAAATTTCACTCTTTCCTGTCTTCAAAACTTGAGAACCCTGTAGCTGATTTCTAATGTAAGGGCTAGAAATCAATTAATTCTTTGCTGATACTTCCTCGTCATCACGGAGAGCGCAGTTAGCACCGCTTTCTCCTTCTCTCCACAAGCGCTCGCTCTCGCGTGTCTCCGCTATGCAACCATAAACAGTGACGCGCCTGGAAAAACAAGCTCGTCCGTCGCTTCTATTATGAGCGCGATTCCCGCGCGCCTACATTTGAAATTTGCACGCGCAAAAAACGTGCTATGTGAACGTGTGAACGGCCCTTTATGGCAACGTGACATTAGCCTAATTCAACATATTTCCATATGTGGCTCTTTCCTCCTTTCTTGTCAACAAGTGGATTCAGAGCCAACGCATTAGCAGCGCCGCCGGTCGCCATGTCTCAGTGTTTTTATGAAGAGGAAGCAACTCTACCAGCGCATCAAGAACCGGATTAACCCGGTACTCGGTACCTAGAAACGCTGGTACCGTAACCGTTAATTTTTTTTAGTACCGACTTGGTACCGAAGTACCGAGTTTTTTGACAACACTACCACACACCATATCTTTTTCATGCGTCACTGATTCAATCTTATATGAAATAGCAAACCATAAGATGAGAGAAATGGGGGAAAATGTGATACAAAATTTGATTAAAGAAAAGTAAATCACAAGTAAAGTGAAATATTACAATTTAAAAGTACTTTTTCTATTTTCATTTGTTGAAATCACATGTGATGGAAAGGCTGATTTTTTTTCCTAGTAGCCATTACTCAAGTCTTCACATGTTGATTTTTCTTATTATGAATTTTGAAAACATTTGTGCTAAAAATTTTTGTTGAAACCATGATGCATGTTACAATGTAAAGGTGTCACTTTTGTATCAGTTTAATGCTTGCTGAATAAAATAAGAATTGATTTCCTTTAAAAAAAACATGCATGCACGCACGCACAGACACACACAGACTGGAAAAATCAGGGAAGTTACACTTCAATTGAAAATTGTTCCAAGCAGTTCTGTTATCATAAAAACCCTTTACAGTTAAAGGTTTAGTCCAGATGATCAATCTTGATTATTCTAAAAAAAGTGTTGACAGACTTTTTGTGTTTAAGTACATTACATCAGGTTAACATGCTTTTACAAGAACCACACGACACAAATATTCCACTGAGCTTGTTTGGTGTCATATTTAAGATTCTTTAATATGAGCAATAGACATGGCTTGATGGTTTATCTTTAGTTGTGTAATTTCATTTTTAGTTCTTTCACTTTATTTAGCCTATTTCACGTGTTCACTTCACATGCTGCACGTTTTTATATTGTTTCGTGTAGAGTGTGCCAGGCAATGGCTGTTGAGGTGGCAGACACTTTTGAACAGTTTGCTGGAAGTCTGGAAGCTACTGATGGCAGTATGTTGGAGCCTTATAAAGTTAAGCTCAAAAATATTCATAGCACTGAAAACTTATTTTATATATGAAGCCATTAGCCTGGGTTCCCCCATGCTGCCTTACCGCAGCGTGATTTTAGTCTCAACGAGAATTGGGTCTGGCGTTAGCCAGGCTATGAAGCCATCCGATGTGGACAAAATCCTATTTCATGTTAAAAAGAGTGCATAAGAAATTAACATTTTAAAACATGTTGGGTGAGGATGTTTATCTGATCAATTACACAACAAAGTTTTGTACTGTAAAAAAAAACAGATCTTACTCAAATGACAATTATCCCGCCTTTGATTTTGCGAACATGTTGCAAAACACAGACATTCAAATTTTGAATCTGTGGTGCGCAAACGCTATATATGAATGACTGTACAACAACATTAAACTTGGATACAGTAAATAATCTCTAAAAACCCATTAAAACTAAATAAAGAACAATAAAAGTTGACTTTTTTTCATGCGTCACTGATTCAATCTTATATGAAATAGCAAACCATAAGATAAGAGAAATGGGGAAAAAATGTTTATGCAAAATTTGATAAAAAAAAAGTAAATCAGCAGTAAAGTGAAATATTACATCTGATGGAAAGGCTGATTTTTTTTCCAGCAGCCATTACTCCAGTCTTCACATGTTGATTTTTCTTATTATGAATTTTGAAAACATTTGTGGTGTGGTGCTTAATATTTTTGTTGAAACCATGATGCATGTTACAATGTAACAGTGTCTGAATAAAATAATAATTGATTTCCTTAAAAAAAACACACACACACACACACACACACACACACACACACACACACACACACACACACACACACACAGAGTACTGGCAAATCAGCATATCAGCGGCATTGTTAGTGTTATTTAAAAGCATAAGGAAATGTTTTTCTCTGTAATTGTTGTTTCAAAAGAATCTTCTTAACCTGTTTTATTTTCATAATAGTTATGTAATTAAATAATTACTTGTATGCTTTCACTTTCTTAAATCTGAGGTAATCAGTTACATAAAAAGGTGTAAGTTAAGAAATCCAGTTTAAGCAAGCAGAACTGGTAGATTTTTATTTTGTACTCATACATTATTTACCTAAACTTGAAATATTTTAGTAAGCTAATTCATACATTTAACTTAAAACGATTATGTTGCTGGTGTGAGTAAGGACTGAAGAGGAGCCAGAGGAAAGGAGGACCCCGATGAAACCGAATGGGTGGAGGGATGAGGCTCAGCCAAAGGCCCGGAAGTTCGTGGTAGAGGCAGAGTGGTGACTGACCAAGGCGGAGCCGGAGGGACAAGGGAACCCGGTGGAGCCAGAAGGACGGCAGTCCCAGGAGGAGCCGAGGGAGCAAGGAACCTCTACGGGCCGAGGTGGAATAATGGGCTCGGAGGTCTAAGGTGGAGCCAGAGGTTTCGGAGACGGGGCCAAGGATCTGTCTGGAGTCAGTAGAGAATGAGGGAGTGGGAGGCACCAGGGCCATTAGCAAAATTTACTTGATAACCTTTTCTGTGTAAAGGGTAGTAACACTTTACAATAAGGTCTCATTTGTTAACATTAGATAATGTATTAATAACATGAACTAACAATGAGCAATACATTTGTAACAGTATTTGTTAATCTTTGTTAATGTTAGTTAATAAAAATACAGTTGTTCATTGTTTGTTCATGTTAGTTCACAGTGCATTAACTAATGTTATCAAATATAACTTTTGATTTTTTGTTAACTAATGAAACCTTATTGTAAAGTGTAATGTTATATCCAAATATACAACTTCGTTGCCATGACAATGCAACACCATACACTGCAAAACTAAATATATTTTTTAAAAAGAAGAATTGAATTGCTTTCATTACAAGCTTGATATTTCTTCTTTTAAATACCCTGAAAATTGTCCGTTGTAAGTGCCTCCCCACAACCTTTTCTGATGCTCTATGAATTCAGTTATGTAATTTCATTGCAATCCTTGTTAAGTTGCATTACACTACTTCAGAATGTCTTTACCGCGGAAGGCGAGGTTTTTATTTTCTTGTTGGGTTTACATTTAATTTATATTAAACAACCTTGTACCAGGTTTTAAGCATCACATGTTCTTACCAAACATAAAAAATCCAATTGCATCAAAGGAATGTGACAATGGCATGAGGGCAAATGTGTGCACGTGTGGAGACAAAAGCTATTCAGTCAATGAACATTGCAAGTTCATAAGAACCAGTGACATAAGAGTTCTGCTCCACCCAGCAGTAGATCTTGATCCACTGCATAGTTCTGTACAGCAGGGGTTTCCCTGGCCTGATCAGGAAGCAAACTACAGCTATAAAAACAAACCTAGCAGTCATTCACCAGCATCTCCAAACATTGTGGTTGTGAGAAGAGGACTGCTGAAACCAGCTGGCACGTCTAAGATCAAGAAAAGGTTGGTTTCATTTCAAACAAAATAATTATGCTGGTTTATTTGTTCGTTTATGTTATGTAGAATTTAAGAAGACTTAACATCATGGACATTTGATTTCTGTTTATGTACATGACGAGACAAATACTCTGTGTTGCAGCACAATGAAAACTTGTCAGTGCATCCTGCTACTCTTCAGCTGCCAGATTCTTTATACTCGAGGTAAACGATGAATGTGTGTTTGGGGATTCAGAATCATATCACGATACTAACAATTGCAGAATAATTCAAACGACCCCAACCCAAATATTTCCATAGCTTTAGAGTGTGAAGTGATTCCTGGTACCCTGAAGCAGATTGATGCTGGATTGGGCTCAGTGGGTGGAGTCAACAATGACAATGAAGTCTTCCTATTTTTGGGAAACAGTTTTACAAGAATAAATGCATCACTGAAGCACATTACTGTTGGACCGGCTGGACAGTTTGGAGTGAGTCCAGCAAACACCGTCTTCAAGTTTCAGAGCGGAAACTTCAGGCAGATTCAAGGTAAAATGAGGTAAAATGTAAAAGATTAGGCTCAAGATGCTGAATGCAGGTTATCTTATCTGTCTGACTTCTCCCTTCAATCTCTTTATTTTAGTGTCAGGAGGTTTAAAGCAGGTGGATGCTGGAAGTGAGATTGTTGCAGGTGTTAATCCGCTAGAAGATGTCTTCTGCATTAACAAGGATACTAACAGCAATGGGCCACCTGCAAATGCTGCTTGGACACAACTCACGGGAGGAAGGCTGAAGTACTATAGCTGTGGCCCGTACAGCTGTTGGGGGGTGAACTTTACAGATAATGTCTTCCTCAAAAGGGTAAGAGTAAAATCCAGAGTGGAAGGGCTTGAACAAAAAGAAAAATCCTAAGTACACAGTATCAGACAAGTGAGTTTGTATCTTCTTGTGTTTCTCAGAATGTGACGAGCTCTTCCTGTGGTGGGTCAGCTTTTTCGGAGATTGTTAATGGAACTCTGTCTATGGTCGAAGTAGCAACTGATGGCAGCGTATATGGTGTCGACTCTCAGGGGTCTTTGCTGCAAAGGTGAGCTGAAAATAGCACTGAAAGCTTGTTTTAAGAAACCTTCCAAAAATGAACAACAGTAAAATTTAATAATAATTTTGAGTTATTAGAAACCATTATCTTATCACTTATCTTTTATAGAGTCGGAGTCTCTCAAGCAAATCCCGCTGGCACAGAATGGCAAAGGATTGCCGCCTGTCCCTTTGGCCACAAACATGTGACCTTCGATGTGGGGAGGCTGTGGGTCATCTGTGGTGATGGATCCATCAGAAGATGTACTTGAATGTCCATCATGCATCTCAGAGGAACCCAATGATCATTAAATGTAGAAATCTGAAAATAAAGCTTGTTTTGTTTGTTTAGCCAATGAAAGTTGAGTTTTGTTTTTGTTCGTTGAAGTTTGACATATAGAGTTTTGTTTTGCATTGCTATATGTCATTAAAGTTTAAATGAAATTACACAAGAGTTGGACTGCTTCATACTAACCTTTTCTTCATAATCAACTGAATTCTTTTTTTAAAAATGATTGTCATGAATCATGGAGAAATGCATCATAATTAAAAACTCTTTGCATTGCAACAAAACACTTACAATGTTAGTCCTTTTGAGGGACTATACATTTTTATGTGGATTAACCTCTGGATGTGCATTACTGACATATTTTATTTAGTATTTATGTTCAATATTTAAGTTTTAAAAAACGTCAATCAAGCAATCTTAAACTCTTTGTGCCCATTGGGTATCAATGAAACCTGTTGCTTTATGGTTGGATGATGAGTGATGCAGCTGGAGATGACAGATGGTTGTCAGGCGATCAATCACATATACTAGAGATACGCCTCATTCACAACACACATGGTGAAGTTGCTAAATTACTTGAAAAATGTGTATGTGTTTGCAGAGGCTCTAATTAGAGCTCAGCCACGAGGCATCTCATTATAAAGCCTGTGTCACACACTGTGCATGTATTTGCTAATGATGTGGAGTTTTGAAAGTGACAGGGTTTATTTGGATCAGTTTAAATTAGTGTGGGATCTGAATAAAGTTTCATGGCATATTTCTGTATTCCTGTGTGGGTTTCATTCTCAGACTAGTGGTAGGCTACACAGCAACCAAATCATCATGGCAATTGGCAACACAGAAATGCTGGCTGGATGAATTAAACAGGAGAACGGCACAGCCTTGTGGTGCCACACAATATAACATCTTATGGATTTATATCAGACTGTATGTGGCCACTCACACACAGATCAAATTCTGGGAAAAGCAATTTCTAGCAAGGTAAGGTAGGCTATTTCGAACATTTGTTGTAATGCATTTGTGAAAACATAATTCAGACAACAACGATAGAACCCCTTATTAGCTACTCATCTTAGCAGTGTTACATTTATTAGGCAACAGTGATAAACGTGTGCCCCAAACGTGTGCCCCAAACGTGTGCCCCAAAAAGTTTAGATTTTAATAGGCTAACGAAGATGAGGTGACTTTTAAGTGCAGGCTACATTCAAAGACAGAAAATGTATTGAACAAAAGTAAAATAATCAAACTTGAGTGTTTGGAGGTTTAAATTCAATACGAAAAGGGTAAATTACAAACATTTAAAAACTTAAATTTGTTCAATTTATCTGAGAACTCGCAGCGGGTAATTTCACAGTGTAGGTAGGTCATAAGGTTGAAAGCCAGCTTTGGAGGGACAGTGTTTTTGTTTTTAATATAAATAAACAACATTAAGACAGATAAAACAAACAAACAAACAAACAAACAAACAAAACCACAAAAGAGTAAAATAAATAAACAGTAGCCGACAATAAATGTGCAGCGGAAGTGCTGCGATGACGTCAGTTTTGCGCGGGGACCTTCAAACATGTGTGGATGCGTCATTTATAAACAAGTCTTTTGGCAGACGGTTTTAAGACCCCAAACGATTGTGGAAAGTCATTTTTACCCGGGCCGTAAATATATTATTCCGTACTTTTTAATGAACAACATGGATAGATAGGCTATGACTGACTGTATTATACTGACTGTATTATATTTGACATATGACGTCCGTTAGTAGGCTAAACAACAAATCAAGTCAAAGATGTCTCGAGATGTGACAACGCAGAAAGAGTTATTGTGGAGACAACAGCGCCGCGCGGTGGTTACGGGAAAAGTTACAGCGGCGAGGCGCGTTTGTTTCTCCGGGGTTTGGCTCGTGAGAGCGGGTGGCTCGCGCTGACAGGTCCGCGAGAGGGACAGCCACACTCTCATTTCTCTTCACGGACTATACACCCGCCGGAGAGAGTCACTGGGCATTCACAGCACCTGACCTGTACAGCATCTCCGTTTTTAATTCATCCGCCGTTGCCCATAGAGCTGCCGGTGAAGCAGGTGAGGCGGCTTTTGTGGAATTCGCTGCCTGTCTAAAAGGTGACGATGCGAAATAACGGGACTCGCAGACTTGCGGAGAGATTATAAATCCCTGGAAAGGTACGTAATGCTTCATTTTATCCTATAAACTTATCTTATTAAAAAAGTGCACTGAAGTAAATTGATACTTAAACGTGTACGTCGCATTTCAACAGTTGCCAGTGCACGAGCCGTCATCAATAAAATAGAAGGTGGAATAGACTTGCTTTTATGGAACTCACAATGTTGTTGTTTTTGTTAAATTGCTCCCTGACTGTTGATAAAGTGTTGGTGGTTGTTTCTCACAAGCATGAAGGATGCTGAGGGATGAAACACAACATGCTCTGATGCTCCAGGCAACGGAACATGCAGAAAAAAAGTAGTCTCATCAGTTAGAGCTGATCTCATGTGCTAATATCAAATACAAGCAAGAAACGACCATTTAGGACTCGACATATGCTTTTCTCGTGCGATGAACAAATCAGTACAAACCATTGAGCAACACTTTGCATTACAAATGCTTGCTACATGGCATGCTATATAATGCACATACAGAAGTAGTGTTTTTTAACACCAAGTATTCACTGCATGTAAGATTTTATGGGAACATTTAGTTAAATGCATAGTTTTATGATTTCAGTTCACTTAAGTGCTTCTGTTGGATAATATTTTTTTTTTTTTTGCAGGGTAAATACATGTATGCATGTATGTAGAATATAATGAATCATCAAACATTTTGTACCAAGACTAATTGTATGCTTTTGGTTCACTGAAGTACTCCTGCAAAATGATACATTTCTCACAGTAAAATATTCAAATTAGTCTCTCAATTGTAAAGTCGCAAAAACCTTCATGTAACAATGCAATAATTATAGGAAGGTTGTTTTGAAATAGTTTTAAATGTGTATATCACAACACATTGCTTGACATGTCACCTAAACAATTACAAAGCAATGCAAATGAACAAAAAAGTGTGAACAAATCCTGCATGCGTGTGGCACGTTTGATAGTTTTGGCTGCCATTAAAAAGCCCTGGGCTTTATAATGAGGGATCCGTGTCATCCTATCTGTAGTCTACGAATGGATTACGATTAAGGGGCTTATTTTTGACAGATACCATCCATGCAGTGAATGCTGTTGAATTACACGCATTTCAACTAATTGCCTTTTGCTCATTTCTTAATCGTCTCCTGATTTCACGGTCATGAAAGACAAGACATTTGATGTCGCGCTGCATGATTATGTTATTCACACACATGTTTGGTCCCAATCCAGTTCTTCTTGCCAAATCGTCCTGTATCCCTGTATCCTGCACTACAGTAAACAAACTCAAGTGCTGAATGGCACACGGGAGAATCGCTGTAATCCTGGCTTGCCGAAAGGAACCAAAGACAGATGAATCAGTTCTCTGGGCGGATGGAGAGTTAATGAGATTTTCTCACACTTGTCACCACATGGTTTCTAATTTGAACCGGTGGCCACTTTCACTAGCGGTGCAGTGGACCCTGAAGGACTCTGCTTTTCTCCTCTTCTCTGCTCACAGATCATCCCTCAATCTCCTCAAGCCTTTCTCCTCCCATCTCCATCTGCAGAGACCCTAGCTCCTTTTTCTCATTCTGTGTTTCCTACGGCCATTCTTTATATTCCATTTGACATGTTTTTCCTCAGCTTATAGCACTCAGAGTCATTTTAAAGGTAAACTGCATCATTTCTCTATACCAGTGATGATTTTGTGGTGGGGCTGCTGTCTTTTTAAATAGCCAATTGGCTTAAGTTACGTAACATAGTTGCGAATTTGTATGTGAATATTTACTGCATTTGATGAAAAATGAGAGAACTTATTTTGAAATTTGATGGACAACTTGGTTTCTGACAGTTAAAAAGTATGTTATATGAATGTGTATATGAATATTTGGACATTCTACTGCACATCCGCCTTGTTGGCGTTGTCATGTGACTTACGGCATCACAAGTCCACACTTTATAGTAGTGAAGTTGGTATATTCACACATGGGGTGTGATTTTTATTTCCTAGTCAGTTCAAAGCCTTTGATTGGACAAAAATCTGTATAGTGCAACATGAGCATCAATATTTTTTTGTCCATTTTTGCAGAAGAGAAAGAAAGTGTGTTTAAATGTGCATATCCTTTTACTTTCGGTTTCATTGTTATTTAGAAGCAATTTGGAAAAACAGCAGGAGAAAAACAATGCCACAGAGATACTTGAGAAATAGTTTTTTGGGCATTGTGACAGAAGTTGTGGATAGAATGAGAGACTGAGATGGAGAGATGGAGAAAGGGATGAGGAGAGAGAACAAGAAAGGCAGAGTTGATTTTTCACTTGGATCCGTTAAAGGCAGAGCGTGTTCTGACACTGATGGCTTGTGAAGCGACTCTCAAATGCCTGTGAATTAGGTTGTCATGACAAATAGGCATTCTTTCCTGCACTTGTCTGTTACTGCAGCCAACACTGTCTCTGAGTGGAAGAAATAGAGGAAATAATGAAAAAAAAGGTGTCTAACTACTTCCTTTCTTTTTATCTCTGCTCTGCAGTCTCAATCCATCTATACAACTGCGGTATTTTGGGTTGTTACTGTGGTTTTTAGACATCCAGGGATTTCTGGAGACTCTCCAGCAGTAATCAGGCTTTTATTATTTGCATTACGTGCTTGGAATATTACACCTATTGACTCATGCCATTTAACCTTTTGAACGTGTTTTAAACCTGAGTATCTATATATATTAAAGCTGCACGATTCTGGATACATTGTGAATCACATTTTTTTATTTCTAACAGACATCACAATTCTGACAATGCAATTTAAACAATCGTTATTTGAAGGGCCATGTTACTTTCAAAATGTGATTTGCTCTATTTTGATCGCTGCCATAGACATCAGTGTTTATATCTAAACTATAAACATTTATCCCAGTACTTCTGTGATAATTTATATATTTGTAACAC